GGATTGCTGGAAGTTTAGTTTCCGTTCAAAATGGAAGAAAAGCTATAGACAGGCATATTTTTGTCAAGGCCTGAGACGAGAGACTGCAATGAGACATGGGACATCGTGCCCTAACCAGCCCATGCTTAAAAATCAATATTATGCACTCGCTTTCCCTTTACAATCGTCAGTGTGACTTGTTTTCCCGTTTAATCACCTACAGCGATTGAGGTACCGTTGTTCATTAAATGGTTGAATTTTGTTATTAAACACTGTTGCAACATTTACGATGAAACAAATCAAACAACAGTAGGTAGAGAATTTTAAGACTGCATTAAACACAAAGGTAATTTACAACCATCTAATTACCTTCATACTTCCCAGTCTTCTTGTTCTGTCGTGAACTAATAACTTCTTAATCAAGTCTCTGGTTTGTACACAAAGAGAAACAGAGGTTAGTCAATCGGCCAACGCATTCATAGCAATTGCCACTTTTAGGACAGTGAGGAAAAAATTGAAAAGGTTGAAATTAAACCACATCATTAACACGTACAATCTAAAAGTAAGCTTCAGTCACTATTTTAGGATATTAAACTTTGTCCAACTTATGACCAACTCACCCCCCACCCCTTATTTCCTATAGCATCTATTTCCAGCATGTCCAAAGAAGGGCTGCGAAGGACTGTATTTAAAATTCAACACCTTGAGAAAATCTCTCCCCCTGTGTCGAATTCTTAAGGTCATGGATTAAGTTTAATCTTGTAACAATTGCACCATCTTTCTTTCCACATCTGCTTGTTTTGATGAGTCTGTAGGGCTTACATGCATGCAGCTTGAAAGACAAAATGAATGTCCATTCAAGAAATAGAGAAATCTTACTTTGCTGCAGTAGTTTCCATGTGCTTGGGCCACTCTACCTTTCCCGATAATATCTTCTCATATATGCCAAACGGGTTGTCATCAAAAAATGGGGGATACCTGAAACCAATCAAATTTCCATCAATAGACCACTTTCATATATGGCTGCCGGATTAATATTCTTTTGTTTAAATTTAAATTAGCCCTACTGGCCTCGTTCTCCAGTACAAAATTCAAAAGAATACACTATATCAAGTGAGGCCAGTAGGGCTAATTAAAAGAATATTTATACGGTAGCCATTTATGAAAGTGGTCTATAGTCATGTTATTCTTGTCAATTTCCTTAAACTTAGTAATACCAAAAAAAAAACCCAGACCCACAGATGTCTCAAATAATTTCCTCTAGATTTGCAAAGTAGATTGGAATCCATGTCAAAGACATAGATGCATGTGCACATTACATTTTACAATGCTTAAAACGACTTCCCCGCAACATTTTGTGAAAGTCAGTTCTATGATATAATACTATTCCCACTGGAGAGAATGTGCTGTACATGATTGGGTTTAAAACAAGATGATGCTGTGGGAGATCACAAATTTTTTTCCTGTTTCTCTTTTCTCAAGGGTTCTCCACCCATTAATTTTAAAAATAACAACAATCAAGACCACCCCTAAGACATATGTCGAGACATGCAGGTCAATGACGTGGCATACTCATTGCCAAGAAATTATTTAAGTATATACCTATAATTACAGACACCAAGAATTTCTTCTAAGGTGAGATTTCTGGTTTAGAGACCTTAATGAAATAATATAAATAACCGCACACATATTTATCTAGAAACCACACTGGTTGCACATTTGTAGGAATATTCATTTTTGGCAGTACAGAACACTGACAAAGCTCTAATTGGATTACAAACTTTTTTGAGATTCTGCATGGGGGACCTTCTTTGGTGTTAAAGAACTTTGATCTACACAAGAAGCAATTCAGAGCACATTTTAGCAAACTTAAAAAGACCTTAACCAGAATTTTCTTGAAAGTTGTACTGATGAGTCCTTCCCACAGGATTTAACCTCACTTCTCATTTATGTTGATAATTTTTTTTTTTCTTTGAGTGACTGTTCCTGAAACAATTTGCCCAATGATTTAAAAATAACTAAAAATGTACAAAAATAAACAGTTTTACTTAAAAATACCTTGACCTCACTCATATAAGCTCTTGTGTAGAAAGTTTTTTTAACCTGGAAAGTTAAGACCGTGGCACCTGGTGTGACTTAATATGGAGCTGGTTGAGCTCCAGCTGTGCACAATGACAGCTGTTGGCCAATTTGTAAACTTTCCACCTTTACAGTCTGTGGCAGCTCTTCCATTTTCTTTCGTAAATGTGAAAAAAACAAAGGGTTTCCTTTGAAACTCTTAAACCCTAAGAGAGACAGGCATCGCCGGAATTTCTCTACACACTTGATAAAAAAGCTCTTGAATATTAAACAATTCTCCTTTTCAGTACAACAGGAAATTTAGGAAGAAAAGTGTGGAGAACATGCATCCTGATCATAGGGTGAAAAGAGTTCAGTTTTGAAGTAATAGTGACTGTATGTTCCTGAGTTTCTGAAAAGTGGACCATGGTGCATATCAAGTTTTCAGACTTTGCCCTACACGTAGATCATTTTATTAGCCAAATGGTGCATACTGCTGTGTGCAAAATTCCACAAAATTTCTCTGCCAAAGTTTGTTATCTCAAGCCATCTGAAGTTATTGTAATTTTTCTCAGAATTAAGATCAAATTTTTCAGTCAATGACAAAGGCAAATAAAGAACTTAAAAATTTCAACAGGTGTGGATTAACTTATGACCTTGAAAGTAGTACTTAAGCTGCTAAACTGCTAAGCCAGAGAGAGGAGATTATGCAATGGCTGGGTGAAATAAAATATTGTTGTTTCATTGTACCGAACAAGTGACAAACTCTGGTCTTCTGATCCCATTGTTTATATATGTATAGTTTTGTGCATGTACAACACAAAGGAAGAAAGCAGGTTCAAACCAAAGTTTTCATGTGAAAGACAATTTTTTTTTGTCAGTGAAATAGAAGCCACCATACTTGAAAAAAAGTAATTCTCAGACAGAGCTTCCAACAGAAACTAATCCTGTTGGGTGTGACCATATTATAATTGCATTTAACTGGATGTTCTCTCGCTCTGCTGCATGCATGTGTTGGCCTTGTCATGATCCCTCATTCCTTTAATATCACCAGGCTATGAACTGATCATTTCAATCATTCTTTACTTGCTCCTACTTCATCCTAACAAAGGGCTAATGCTTGAAACATGATCAGCTTAATAGAAACTCTTTATGGTGGCCAATTCACATTACCAATTCAGTTGACAAAACCAAAATATCTTATAATTCATTAAAGCTACAGCATCCTACTTTTCTCCTACTTCACTCTAATAGAAGGTTATTGCTCAGAGAGAGTCAGCTTTGCAAACTCCTTACCATGGCCAATTTACATATCAACTCAGTTGATAAAACCAGAATATCCTTTACTTTATTTTAAATGAAAGGTCACTCTTACCCAACAAGCATTTCATATATGAGAATTCCTAAGGCCCACCAATCAACTGCTTTGTTATGTCCTTTGCTTTGAATTATTTCTGGGGCAAGATATTCGGGGGTACCACAAAGAGTCCAAGTCCTGAAAAAAAAAAAGGCAAAATGAAATATTGAATTATTATGATATATTACTAAACATTATTAACCAATTCAACTACATCTACAATAATACAATATACAGTATGAGGGATAATAAATACTTGAAAGATACTTGGCACAACTATTGTCACAGGAAGTTAAAATTGCTTACCAGGTAATAAGCAATTGGGACCAGGTTGCACAGAAACAAATACAAATACTTTCCAATTTTTTGCAGGAGAAGAATTACAAAAATTTTCAAATTTCAAAATTTGGCCATGGTTACATTAAACTATGATGTTTCATCAACAACTTTACTGAAAGGCCAATACGTCAATCACAAACCCATCTTGTTCAATGAAGTATCCTACAAGAAATAACTAGGCAAAAAGAAGTATATTTTTGTGGCTTTTGGGTTTTTGTGGAATTTTGTTTTTTTCACTCTCAGAAAATCATGATAGAAATTTTGGAAGTGTTGGTGCACTATTTACAGGTCTTTGTGGGTAGTATCTGCTTTCAGAGGACAAAGACCACTTGGATAGAGCATACTTCCGGCCACAATTTTAATCAGACTGTCTGGAATAATATAACAGTTGAGTTGTTGAAAAAAGATTTTTTTTGCCAAAATTGGAAAGTCTTTGAGACAGGACTTTGGGCCCTTTGAAGATTAGCGAAATTTTAAGCAATTCACAAATTTTTGGCATGTTTTTTTCAACTGGGGGTCGCATTTATTTTGTTAACAGATTTACATCTTGAACAAACAAAATTAGCTGTAGTGTGACCTGGCTCCTAAACAATGGCATACAAGTGTCTTGTATTTAATAAATTCATCTAAGATGAGAAGTGCAAGGGAAAGATTTCTGGTTAAAAAATTACATTTCCAAAATCGTCAACTGTTCCCCTAAGGGCAACCTGCCCTCCTTTTTTGAGATTTGTTCAAACACCCCATTCCCTTCTCGAAGTTAAGTTTCTCTCCCGTGGTACAATTACTGTCCAACATTGACAAGGGCACTGGATAAAATTGTTTAAAGTGAGAAAAGGGAAACATGTGGGTTAAAATAAATAAAATTCAAAATTGTTAGTTGCTTCCCATAGGGCAACCTAAATTCCTTTGTCAAGATTTGTTCAAATGCTACTCAATGTTGAGTATTGCAATCCATCATTGAAAAGGGCATGGAAAAAATAATTTAAAGTGAGAAAGGGAGACACATCCAGTTAAAAACATTCTTTGTCCAGGTTTGTTAAATCTTTCACTCCCCTTCCCAACCCACCAAAAGTTAATGAGTTTTCTTCATGCACTTTAATATCTTTGTTTCTAAAACTGACAAGGAAGAAACAAGGAAAAAATTGTTTGACCCATTGCAACAAGGCTTGTAACCTGCAAAAATTTATGATCAAAGGTTTATTGTAGAATTAGGTGCTTTTTTTTTAAAGGACAGGGTCTCTTCTGTGTGTGGAAAGGAAGGGAAGGTTATGGGAAATTCTGGAACTAAGATATCCTTTAAACTTATCAGCATGTTAATCGTCTTGTGTACCAAATGTTCATTTGATATCCCAAAACTGGATAATACAGAAACTTTATTTCACCCATGGTAACAAATCATCAGCTCACATCCAAGGAAGGAACAGTTATTACAGGTATAACAACCACAGCTAGAGGTTTTTTTAAAATAAAAAGCATGCATCAAAGAGATGCAGCTGTACATATCCTTCTTGTCAACAATTTACCATTGCACTAAAAAATATTCAAATTAATATAACTTACTTGTCATGAACTTCTTTAGCAAAGCCAAAATCTGTGAGTTTGACATGTCCTTCCCTATCTAGGAGAATATTTTCTGGCTTGAGATCACGATACACTATGCTATTTTGATGGAGATAGTCAAGTGCAGAGACTATTTCTGCTCCGAAGAAAAGCCCTGTACCATTATTAAATCTTCCTGCTGTACGTAAATATGTGAAAAGTTCTCCACCACAAGCGTACTCCAAGAGCATGTACAAGAATGTGTTGTCATGATGTGTCCATAATCTGCAGAGTAAAAAAGAAGGTTAACCGTTTAAATACCAGAAGTGCTTAACATTTAACTTCTTGTGATATTGATACACTATCCAGTATTATTAAAAACTAGATCATTGGATAATGCAATTCAAGACTTTTTATTGGCTTAGCCATTATGGTATATCAGCCAATATACCATAATCTACAAATATGGCAAGCGTACATGTCAGCTTAAAATTAAAAGGGAGCTAAGAATTTAATAAAATTTAATAATTTAATTTAAAGTTTTTAATAAAACAATTATTCCACTCGCGCTTGTTGGATATGAGATGATTATAGCCAACTCCGTGCTACGCGCCTCATTGGCTATCTATCATCTCATATCCAATGCGGGCTCGTGGAATAATTGTTAATTAGGTAATGAGAATACTCAAACTTATCAAGTAGAAGTTGTTCTTTTGATCTAACACCAAATTCTTGAATCTAGTTACAAGGAAATGTGTAGCTATTACAGGGGAGAATTGACAATCAGATCTTGGGATTTAAATGGTTAATTACTCTGGCCAATCTATTGAGGAAATAAATGGTGATGAAGGCCCCTATAGAAATAGAGTAACAAAGATTGTAAATTTGGAGCTTAAAAAAGTTTAAGTTAACCTGCTTGTTGGTCTGTGATAAGCTTTCTATTTTGTTTACTGATTGAGTCCCACACATTATTGCAAGTTTACCACAGGCATTCATTTTTGAAGCTACATTACCTTTAGTAGCCATTTCTTTTTTAAAAGGAGGATGTTTTTTTTGTCTTGTCACACACATGGTACAAAGGATTTATTCTAAGTACCAATGAGGAATCAAACCTCAGACCTTTGGATTCTGTGCTCTGATGCTGACTGCTAAGATAAGCACTTTTTAATGGTTAACTGAGAAAAGGAAGGACTAATGGTTGGCTTACTGGAGGAAAACTGAAATGGACCCTGTTTAAACTTCAGCTGGGTTCTTGAGCGAATGCAATTTTGTTAAAACAGTGCCCTGTCAGCACACTGTCAGCATAGAAAAACCTGATAAAAAACTGGGAGTTTTTCTATAAAGTAGTAATATCCCATGGTAAGGCAAAGCTCTTACTCATATGAAGTACACCACCTGTTTAGTGCCTTAGCTTTACTGAATTTCACTTATGGTCTGCCTATTTATGGCAATGCAGACTTAGATCTTACGGTCATACAAAACTTTCTGGACAGATGTGTTAAAAGGAAATACACATCTAAGAGAATGAGCATTCAAGAACTTTTAGAAAAGGCAGACAAGAAGATATTTAAGGTACATTCAGTGGATCCCGATTGCCCGCTTAATAACATCATCCCAGAGAAGAAAGGAATGAAGTACCAACTCAGAAACAAAAGTGCTCATCACCCAGATATAAAGACTGACAGATTTAAGAATGTTTTTGTAAATAGGCTTATTTTTAAATATACTCTTTGATCTTTCTATTATTTGTATATAGTACGTCTAATGTATTTTTATTTTTCAATTATTTGTATACAGGATGTCTTATGTATTTTTAGACCACTAACTACTGATTTAACTTAAGACATATCTTTTTATCTCAGTTTGGAGGAATAAAGATTGATTGATTGATTGATTGATTGATTGATTTCATATACATTGTAATACCATGGGAAATAAGCTTGAGAGCGGATCTCCCACTTTTCCTATAGACAGCCACCCTTATGTACATGTACATGATCATACACATAATAAAATGTAGCATATCAGATTCAAAATATGCATTCAACTGTGTTAATAAACAGTACATCAAACTAGCAAAAACATGATGTAATAGGTTAACAACATGTATACAAACATAAATATACTGTACACTACGACAAAACATTTTATACCAGGTCCACAACATGTACACTAGCATGATAATTTACTAAATAATTTACTGAAACATAACATATTAGATTCATAACATAAATGCTGTAATGTGAATGTCAATGTACTGTACATCATGCATTACAATGAAATTTAAAGGTGGAAAACAATTCAAATTAAATGACCAACAAAAGGGAGGTGTGGTTTATGTTCTTACTGTTAAATGCACTTAATAGGTAGTTAGTCATTCTACCAAATCTGAATGCCTGTGTTTGGCAGAAAAATCATGTAACACTATGTCAAGCTCAGAGAAACATTCCAATTAAAGGGTTTAGGAAACCTCACCAGACACAATAATACCTAAGGCAAGGCCTACTTTGTACATGTATCTCTACATCTGTAGTATGCATTGATAGAGTAAAAAAAGTCTCGTGTCTCAACTATGAGATTAACCTCAGTCCATTAATTTCAATAGTTTTACAGCAAGATATTAAATTTTGTGGAACTAATTTCCCCATTAACTCCATCGCTTGTTAACGGTTTTTAAATTAATTGCTACCTTAGCAGCAATGAATTAAAGTACGTGATATGCATCTGGATTTCCATGGACACTTCACGGTTACAAGTCCAGGATATACTCAAGTCGTAATCAATGAGAGCCAGGCACTTAGCTCGACCTCAAGAACATACTAGTACGTGATCAATGCTCTGCGCCAAAAACACTCTTAAATAAAGAGAACACGAACAACTGTTTTTTTTTTTCTGCTACTGTGCAAGGCTAAGTCTTAAAGATTATAAAATGCATGTTCATTTAGCAAACTTTCTTGCGTCTAAAAGAAAAACAATTAGGGACAAAAATAAGAGAATTTAGAGTTAAATTAAAAATTTGCAAATTCCTATACGTACACATCTACAAGATTTTTTTTCCTTCTGTTGAAATTACAGAAGCATTGCAGTATGTCGACTTCACTCTCTTTACATTTTTACGTTGTTCTCTCTGTCGAAGTGCAGCGAAAGTTCGTGATCGAATGCTCGATTCACTAAATTCTCTTGCTCATGATCGAACGTTCGATTCACTTGACTGTGACGAATACGTGATAAACGAGATACAAAACCAGCCACTAATGTCAATGTTGAACTTCCCTCAAGACACGACTCTTACAAACGGCGCACTAGACGCGTAACACGATATAATTTCAAAAGACATCGGTAACAATCTGAACATTGTTAAACAATCAAAGACCAACATTAACATTAATATGCAAACCAATTAGCCTTTGGAATTCAATTTCACGTGGTGGAAAGAGTAAAATGGCTTCCTACTTAGGGACCGTTAAAAGATCAAGATCACTACGGTACTCAAGGGGGCGACGTCGTGTGCGAAACTTCTTCAATCCATCATTGGATGAGCTGACTTAATATTCTCATTATTTTATTAACAAAGCCAACATTTACGGCATTTAAGCATCTGTACACATACTTTTTATAAACGAATCGAAGAAGCTTTACTTTCAAATGCAGCCTTGTATACATAACCCCACTGGTTCCGCGCGGAGGGAACCTTACACGGATATTTTTTTACAAATGAGCAGCAGTAGGCTGATTTTAAATAAAAGGCTTCAAAAGGAAAAAATTCTGGGAAAATTTCAAGGTCGATCTCTTAAAGTACAGAGCGAGAAAACTTCTACATAGGTATGTAATGAAGTTTGCTAATGCTCTAAGTGTTTACAATTCATACTCACAAATTCACGATGAATGGATGCTCGATCTTCGACAAAATATTCTTCTCGTTTTGGACGTGTTCAACTTGTTTAAGTCTGATCACTTCTCGTATATTCATTATCTTTAAGGCATGATACTCGCCAGATCTTCGATCCCGGCAAAGTAATACTCTTCCAAATGTTCCCGTTCCTATCAAAGAGAGAGAGAGAGAGAGAGAGAGAGAGAGAGAGATGGAGAGAGACAATTTATTCAGCCCACCTTCTAATACCTCCATATTACCAAGCACTAACGACCTCATTAAAGGAAAGCTATTCTTAGCGCTGTAAATAGATCACAAAGATACTTCTTCGCAGCTATGCATCCGTTTCTACTTACCTAAGGTTGTTGACAAGTCGAAGTCGAGTAGAGTAGTTCGCTTGTCTTTCTTCTTGGAAGCATTATTACTGCTTGCCATATTAAATTGCGACGAACGGCGCTAAATATACTAAATTGACTGATCGTGGACGACACAACGCATTGATATCTTCGGCAGTCTACTCCTCTGATGAAAGTATTTTCTTAATTCCCAAGGAGAAACTGTAAATAAACGCAAACATCTTTAGACAAGAGTGTAGAGAAGCGATGGTCGAAGGGCCTATGGTCCGCCTGTGATGGAATGCTGATAGTCGACAGTGATCGCTCATCCGTGAAGAATCAGGCGAATAAACAAATCAAGCGCGTGTTATTTACTCGCACTGGGATTGTTTATTGTGCTTGGGTGATTGACAGCTGATGGGTCTAAGTGGCACTGGACGTTTTCTTGCGAGGGCTTGCTAAAGAGTTCATCAACAGTTAGCACGAAAGATTCTTTGTACGATTAAAGAGTTTTTCTAATTGCGCATATTGTTTTCCAGTTTTGTTTTTAAAAATGGGGAGATTATGATTCTATTAAAATAGCAGAACCACGCTCTCAATGGTGAACAAAATTTACGCTTTATCATTGTGACTGCCCACATACCTCTAAATTAGATAAAACAGATCGTTATCAAATTTCCCCCAGGGACATCCTTTATTTTTAGCGTAGCTCAAAACAGAGAAGGTAAAAACACCGAGTGAAATGATGAAAATCACTTTCCTTCGTTATTAGCGGAAACTGGTCAAAACCTTAGCGCCCCGTAATTCTTCGGTTCCGTAACAAAAACGGAAACGAAGGGACGATTGCTTCTTCCGGTAAAGTAATACGTCACAAGTACGCGTTTCCGTCAGAGATCCCACGAATTGACGCTCGCATCCTATAGGCAAACACAATAAGTAACTTCCAAAATAACAGCATCGGCCAAAACAACTTCACGTGGAAAGAACGAGGCGTTTTTATTAAGACGTCATTCGATATTAATTTTTGAGAGTCAACCGACTGAAGACGCAGAGAATCATGCGGATTCTGTTGTTGAAAACACAGGTCAAAAACAGATGAACCCACAAGTTTGCGCAAGTTATGTTTAAAGAGCACTTATGAACTTCCTTGTCTTAATTTCTTCTTTTGAGATGTTCAATGATCAAATACTGACCGATCTTGTTTGGTCACGTTCAAACACTCGAAAATGTCTTAATTTAAGTGATTTAACGACAATGAATTTTGACCGCATTTACCGCGTAAAAATGGCATGTTTGTGATGTAGAGATAACCTGCGAATTGTGAAAGCCACAGGGGTGAAAATTCGGGACAGTAACTTGGATTTTTTTTGGAGAGACAACTAGAGATTTATTCCTACATCCCTTCATTTTGTGTTATGCGCTAGTCTTTTTTGTTTTCTTTTCCGTCTTGTTTGGCCTCGATAATTCTCTTTACGAGTTACCCCGCGGTCCCCTTCTGTTATTTGGGTTTTTGATTCCGACAAGGAAAGAAGAGCTATTTGCGTCTCAAAGACGCTGTTTTCCTGCTGGACTATACATAAACGCTACAAAAGATGTGGGCTGTACTTAAGTGTAAAAGCTGCAGTCAGACAAGGTCTTTGTTATTCGTTGATCCATTTTGACTCATATTTACTTGCGGGAAAATCCGTTTATACCGTTTAGTCGTAGTTAGTGCTTGCCGATGAAAAAATTTGCTATCGACAATTTTGCATTGTGAAAACTTTCCTCCCGCGATAGATTACCCTGCTCTCCGATCAGACCAGAAAGAATCAACATAACCCTTTTTCTGTCGTGTGTCTAAATTCCTGTCCTGTGCTGCTAGTGACCGGTGTCAAGTTGGGGTTCATAGTCCGGAGTACCAGACCTCAGCTCACCAGCTTGGTCGTAGGAAACCTTTGGAAGTATCGGCCTAACTAAACATTTTAATGTTTTTCTCGATAACCAAGCGTGGATGGAGTCGAAAGAACAGTGCTCTTAGGACTCAGAATGAAAACCAAACATAAAACAGACAGACAAAAAGATGTCTGTTTGAAACGGAAACAAACGTTCAAAATTCCCGAAAAGAAAGGACAGAATAGATTTCGCCTCATCGTAAGCTTGCCCCCCCCTGCTGCCCTTACAGGTTCACCCCCTGATATAAAACAAGCTCGCGAAAAGAAAGAACACAGAATAGATTTCGCCCCATTGTAAGCTCGCCCCCCTGCCACTCTTACGAATTCACCCCCTGATATAAAACAAGTTCGCGAGAAGAAAGAACACAGAATAGATTTCGCCCCATTGTAAGCTCGCCCCCCCCCCGCCGCTCTTACGAGTTCACCCGCTAAGATAAAACAAGCTCGCCCCACGCCTTTATCTTTCAACTCTCTTCCTTACGCCAGAGCACCATCTCTTTCTGTCGAATCATATTCCGCTTACGCTAGGCCCAACAACATACAAGTGCGACCCTAAAACCCTTATACAGTCAGCTACAAAATTCACGACATTCGCATCGCATCGAGCCATCTCACTTAAAAATTTATTTCTGTAAATATCAATAATGTTACACCGAAGAAAAGCATTTCTCTCAGATTTGTCATATATTATTGCGTTCAAATTATTACAAATCCATTGCAGACATGATGCACTCATCATGTATCAGTTAGAGAGAAAAAAAGCTCTTCAAATATATAGTCAATATCATAATAAAGTGCAGGGACGCTGTAAATAAGCTTTTACAGAGCGAAGACAAATATTTTACATCTTATTTTTGTACATTTGGTTCATAAATAAAATTCAATTTGACAAAAAAGATCTCTCTTTGGAAAGTTTGAGGAGAGTTAATTGAGGTATTTGCGACAATGTTTTGAGTGACACAAACAAGGTAACTTCTCGTCTTCGATAGGAAACTTGTAGTCGTAAGTGAGCTCTTCTCCTCTTGATATACTATAAGGAATAAATAAAATCAAATCATTAAATTTAGTCGAGCACGGATAAGAGAACTCAAAGTAGATATGTTCATATATTTTGCTGTGAAAAAGCTAACTATTACAATTCAATTTGTTTAAAGTTTGTCTTGGAGTCCCCTAACAATTTGAAAATGGCTAATATCGCTGAACGGACACAAAATTACAACAACGGGCCAGAACATTTTACAAGCTTACCCTTCTCCCTTCAGAGTCGGATAAGTAATCTTTAAAATGCTCTGACCCGTGCTAAATAAAACATTGGAGAAATTTTCAAGTGCGTGATGAAAACAATTCAGAAACCATTCAGGATTGCATTGGATTTGCTTTACTTTGCTCTGTGATTGGTCCACAAAATTCGCGCCACCATCGTTACCAATCAGATGTAAAATCAACCGCTACTTGGTCGCTGGCGTTTTCCCGCGTTTCCAGCAGTTTGCTTGTTTTTACTTCGAGTTCTCATTCGCTTCCCCTCAGGGCTCGACACTAAAGGTAGCCATCCAGCCATAGACTAGTAGAAATTCAGTTTTGGCCAGTGGTTTTCGATTTCCACTAGCCAGTTTGGCTGGTAAACAAACTGACATTGTCGTAACATCTAAGATATCACAAGCCACTCGGCTAGTAAGTTGAAAAGTTAGCGTCGAGCCCCATCCCTGATATCATACTTCGCTCTGATTGGCCGTTACGATTACTTCAGTTTGGATTTTACAACACTGGGTCGAGATGCGCTTATAAATCAAAATACAATGACAAGTTACTGTTTCAAAACGGTTTAGCCTTAGTACACAGAAATATTTCCAATTTTTGCTATCCTCCGCCTGATAGAAGAAAACCGATGACAAACCAAACGCCTGTACACTAACAATACTAATAAAATAACCCTTGGAAAAAAAATTCAAGTTAATCTAAAATTTTTTTATAAATAGATACCTTTTGGAAGCAAAGATAATAATTTTCTTTTGACCATCCACAGTAATGACTCGAGAAAAACAGTTTGACTGGAATGTAAAGGAAACACATTACTTAATAAACATAATAGATAGTATGTTCGTAATAGTATTTTCTCTTTCATCATCGTCTAGAGAAAGAGCGAGATAGACACGGGGGGATTTACAAGCAACTTGGCTTGGAAAACCAAAATAGCACTGGAGAACTAGATCACTGCTAACCCCTCACGACACTAAGTCGAGGATATGATTATACTGACGTATAGTTGAAGAGGCATTTCTACATTGTTCCTGTGTAATCAAAAAGATACGTTCTAAATGGGTATATTTGCTGTATAGAGTACCGCAAACTTTCAGCTATAACCCTCACGCACAGCTCATAGCGCCCCCCCCCTCCCGCTCCCGGGAGACAAAACTGTGCAAAGCGGGTGCTTATAGCCAATTTTTCACTAGTTTTTCAACTTAAGGACACTTCTGACTTACCACCTAAAACAACCCTTCCATTGAAAAATAAAAAATGATATTTACCTCGCAAGAATGATTAATGAAACGAGCTGCGTTTCCGCACATTGTGGCGTCAACGACATATGTGCCGTCGACACGGAACATGTAGCACCCGATACCCTGGAAAAAAAAAACAAAAAAACAAAAAAACACATGTGGATCAAGTTATAGGTCCTTGAAGATGAATCAGTCTCAAATCAAAATCATTCAGTCATTATCACCACTGTTCCTACACCTCACCCTTTAAACACAGAACGTTACTTATGTTTGGTCAATGTGAGTATCTACCTTGCTTTCGTAGTACTTCTCTCGCTTGTCAGTTAGAACAGAACGAACCAGCATTCCAGAATACTCGATCACCATCTCACCAGCGGCGATATTACGAGTGCAGAATAAGCCACGACCATGAATTGGGGACCTAAGGTTCACAGAAATGGTCACATGGTCAATTTATGGTCAATTGAGGACCTAAGGTTCACAGAAATGGTCACATGGTCAATTTATGGTCAATTGGGGACCTAAGGTTCACAGAAATGGTCACATGGTCAATTTATGGTCAATTG